CCAGGCAAGCGCTTATTCCACTGAGCTATCTCCCCAGCCCTCAGTTTCCCATTTCTGGATTGAGGTCTTCATTTGGGGTCCATTCTTTTGAGCTTTTCTAGCTCCTGCTCGCACGCTCTTGAGCTCTGGCCGTGTGGGGTGTCAGTTTCTAGCCTTTTATTTTCAGCCTGCGTTTCTTTGCAGATAGTCTGTCTTTTGCAGGCAGCATGTAGCTGGGTTTTATTTTCCCGCACCCATGCTGCCAGCCAGTGTCTTCTGGTTGGGGAATTAGGACTATTTACGTTGAGTGTTGCTCTCGAAACATATTTACTGGACTGTCTCTGTCTGAAAGGTCTTAATTTTTCTGACAAGTTTGAAGGAAAATTTCAGGTTCAAGTAATCTGGATGGATGATTATGTTCTTTTAGACCTTAATAGCCTTCAGCCCCTCCTGTTCAGATATCTGCTGCCACTGCAGTGGGTTTACCTTGTTACTGGGTCTGTCTCTGTATTGGCTTTAGCGGTCTGCTTTTCTGACTTTCGACTGTGATGCATTGCAGAGAGGTTCTTTTTTGGTCGTGTGTGTTTGGAGTTCTAAATGCCTCATTTTTCTGAGTTTCTGTTTCATGCTCTGCATTTGAGAAATTTTCTACGTGATTTTGAGAATACATTTTTTAGACCTTCCATTCGATTTCATCGCCTGCCTCAATCCTTACCGTCCTTAGGGTCATGGAGGAGCTCGCGGCCAGCCCCTCGCGGTTCTCCGAGTCCTGCCGGGTGAAGGCCTGCTGTGCGCCTGCCCCAGAGTCCTGCTGCGCTCCTCTGTGTCTGCTCCCGCCTGCCGCCGAAGCGCTCAGCCGAGTTCTTCATTTCCAGGACCTCTTTACTGACATGGTCATTACCAGCCCACATTGTCTTCCATGAATCATTCAGCTCTTTATTTGTATCTTCTTCTTTAAACTCACTCATCGTCGTGTTTATTGAATCATTTAACTATTTGTTTGCATCTTTGAGCTTAGTGAACATCTTAGTAATCGCTTCATTCATGTGTTTGTTTGACTTTGGTCTCTTCGGTTATTTTGGTCTTGGTGTTTGGTATTTGGGAGCAGGGTCTCCCTACATAGCTCAGGCTGGCCTCAGACACCGATGGTAGTCCTCCAGCCCCAGCCTCTGAGTGCTGCGATCACAGGTGTGTGACAAACGCCCAGCCTCTTCAATTAAGTGTTTGATTTTTGGACTCTTTGGAAATTCACCCACTTCAGTGCCTGGGACCTCAGGGAGTTAGGAATTTTTGGAGGCATCTGGTAGGGTTGTTTTTCATTATTCTGCTTTTGTGCTGAACGTTGTAGGTTAGGTAGGCTAGAGAGCCCTGGCAGTATCTGGAGCACAGGGTTCTCCTGGGACGTGTTCAGTGCCGTCAGCTGCGTCCACCTGTCCAAAGAGCCGGGTTCAGGGCCTATAGCAGTTCCCAGTGTCAACAACATTCGGAGACACAATCTTGTATCAATACTTTATTTATTTAGCCTTTTTCAGACTGGGTCTCTCTGTGCAGTTCAGGCTGGCCTTAAACTCACTTTGTAGCCCAGGCTGGCCTTGAACTCACAGCGATCCTCCTGCTTCAGCCTCCCAAGTGCTAGGATTACAGGCACGTGCCACCATACCTGGCCCAATACTTGATTTAAAACTTTCATTCATTTAAAAAGGTTTTTTTTTTTTTTTTTTTTGGACACCAGGGATCGAACTCGGGACCTTGCACTTGCCAGGCAGTTAAAAAGTTTCTTACACCATCAGTGACCCAGTAAGTTGAATAGCAGCAATGAAGACAGGCTGAGAACTAGAAGAAAAGGGGAAGGGGAATCGAATAAAATGAAATCAGATGACATAAAATTGAAAAAGAAGAAAAAGCAATGAGAAAATAGAATTTGAAGTTTTGTTTTGTGTCTCCAGTCAGGAGGTAGAAGGGAAGTGAGGTCTGTAAGGTCATGTGAGGGGCAGAGAAATGAGGAGAAAGACGTACGTGGGAAGTATGAGGAGCTCGTGGGCTTTGGACATAGTTCAGCACACATCTCCACCTTGAGAAACCCAGCGTTGGAAGGCTCGGGTTGTGGCCCTTGCTGTTCAGTAGACCGCTGCAGATCGCTTGCTGATTGGCACGTGGAGCCCCACCCCCACGCAGCTTCAACTCGATGAGGCTTTTGAGGGACATTTTGGCTCTACTCGTAGGGCTCTTGTAATTTCTTTAGCCATCAGTTGGTCGCTTGGACGCCTGAACCCACTTTCGTGCCTCGGCGCCAGGGTCGTGGTTCCTGGGCCGCAGGCTTTTTGGAGATCCCCCATCACTGTAGGGCTAAGGAGACCTGCAGGCCTGTTGCGGCAACAGCCCGAGGGACGGGGCCTTTCGCACACCCCACGTGGAGCACGGGCCTGGCGCCGGTAGCAGCGGGTTTGGAGCGCAGAGGGGCACTCTCCTGGGCTGCAGTGTGTTGCAGCCTCTAGGGAGGTGCAGCAGCCAGCTGCTGTCTTCTGCACATAGCTCAGGGGGTTCCAGGTTGCAGCAGCTGTGGGTCCAGACTCAGTGGGCTGCAGAGAGGATGCTCCTGGAGGAGCCTTCCAGGGCACTGCCTTAGCGTCAGGGCTTGTGGTGTCCTGGACGAGGGGTGCAGAGAAGACCCGTCCCAGGTCCGGCAGGTTGAAGATGGGTGCTGCGCTCCTCAAGCCGCAGCTGTGGGTGGGAGTGGCCGTATCGGGGACTCTAGCAGGAAGGGTCTGTGGCGTGGCACTTTCAGTGCGAGAACACGAGAGGCATCCTTCACCTTGTCACTGGGGACACAGACCCGCCTGGGTGGTGATAAGAAGGATTTTGTACCTGAAGCGACATCCTAAGGCCAAGACCTGGGCGGGAGACCTGGCCTAGAGCTCACCAAGAGGTGCAAGGACCACATGTACCAGGGTTCTTGCAGCTGTAGTTCTTGGTGGAGAGTGAGGGATGGAGGGCTTCCCTGGCTTGGGCGGGTCTGTGCAAGTGGAGCCAGAACTTCGCAGAGGGAGCTGCTGCCCCAGGCTGGAGAGAACCCATTATGCGTGCAGGAGGACTCTGCCAGGGGTTCGCATCACCCACCAGGCCATGCATGCTCGGTTGGCCCCGAGGCCAGGGTGGTGTTGCCCTGCTGTGTAGTTCGATCCTGGGGGTTGAGAGAGGCCCAGAGGGAGAAGCTTCTCTGGGGCACAGGAGTCCCTGAGAGGTCAGCCAGCTCCCCAAACTGGACTTGACACTGGTGAGTGTGATGGCGCTCTCCTGCATCACGACTGCGCTGCGGCCTTGGTGGGGCTTCTGGGGCTTTCCTCCTTCCCCAAGGCTGGCAGCACTGGCAAGGAGCAGGGTTGCAGGTGCCACACATGTCACTCTCTCCTGTGGGTCACCTGTCTGACTACGCTGCGTGGCACCCCGGCACCCCTCAGGCTCCTCCCTCCCTCCCTGCTGGGAGCACTTTGTGCTCTGCTGCCTACCTGACAGGTGGGCTAGACGCAGGACAGCTGGGTGCCGCCCTCCCGTGCTTTGTTCCAGGTTACAGCTGTGTCTGCATCGAGCTCCCTTTGTGTCCTTTGCTCTCGCTGGGTCTCTTGAGTGATGCAGAACAGCTGAGGGGTGGAGGTGGCATGGCTTGGCCTGGGCTCGAGGCCAGCTGCCTCCCTGAACCTTTGCTATATCCCTGGGCTTCAGTTTTCCCTGCTGTGAAATTCCAAACCCACATGACTTAGAAGGCTGAGTCCAGGGATTCCTGAGTATAACCTTTTCATTTTTCTTCTTTTTTAAAGAAAAAACCAGGGATTGAACTTGGGACCTTGCGCTTGCCAGGCAGGTGCTCATGCCCCGCGCTATCTCCTCAGCCCCAACCCCATATGTACCCGCCCTCCTGCACTGCCCAAGGCCCACCCCTGGGCCCTCCTCATCCGCCATCAGCCTGCTTGTTTCTCATGCCAAGTTGCTCGCTCTGGGCTGGACACTGTGTGCACACTGAGGCCAGGTGGGAGCCAGGGAGCAGGCACAAGCCCGGCCTGTGTGGGGTCTCCCCACCATGCCCAGCCCCCATCGCCTTGCTTAGTGGGGATTGGGAAATGTGGGCTTGTCTTTTGCTCCATCAGGTGCTTGGGCAGGGAACAAAAAACTCAGCTTGGTGCTGGGCCAGAGGAGCCTGTCTCAGATGCTCCCAAGACCCTGTGTCTAGGCCTTCATGCATGTCTCTCGTGGCCATGTGGAACCGCAGAAGTGCTTACCCAGCCTTAGAAGGAAGGGACAGTTGTGCTGTGCTGGCCTTGCTGCCCCCGGAGTCTGGTGCGGCATTCAAGCTGCTCGGTGGTGGTTCTGCGGGTGGATGTGGCCCCTGCTTCCACACTTTCACTACTATGGAGCCCCTGCTGCGGGTGCAGCTCCTTTCCCACCTACACGAGGACACTGGGACCCCCACCAGCCCTAGAGTTGCACAGCATTCCCACTTATGTTTCTGCACCATGTTGGGAGACCTCCTGTCAGAGACCTGCAAGTGGGGAGACCCAGGACCAGGAGACTTGTGGTCTCGGAGCTCGGGGGTCCAGAAGCCTTAAGTCAGCGTTGGTGGAGGCCCCTGGGGGACCTTGCTCCCGCCTCCGGGTTCCCGGTGGCCCAGGCCTGTGGATGCGGCCACAAGCCTCCTTCCTCATGCCCGAAACAGAAGTGGGGACACTGGTGGCCCCTAGGGTCGGAGTGTCAGTGTGTCCTTTCCTGCATGCACCCAAGCACACGGTTCCGCCTGGAGCAGCAGGGGTTGCTGTGGTGAGGGCTGCTGTTTGAATTGTGATCTTTGCCGTCATGGAGCAGCCAAAAACATCTCAGAAATAGTCCTGCTCTGGGCAGATGGCTGAGAAGCCGGCTCGGGGTTGGCCTCCCTGAGGGAGACCAGCTCGGTCATTGAACTCAGCCCCTGGGAGCCTCTGCGCATGCAGGCTGCCAGTCAGCCCCTCTGACCTCGGCTGCTCTGCTTGTAGATGGAGCAGGTGAGGAACGAGCTTCTTCAGGAGCGAGCTGTGCGACAGGACTTGGAGTGTGACAAGATCTCCCTGGAGAGACAGGTGAGGGCGCAGCCCGAGTCCCCTCCCCTGCCCGGCTTTGGCGCTCGGGAGCGGCACACCCATGGCATGAGCCTGCGAGTCCCAGGACACTGGGAAGAGTTTCTTCAGGCTTGTGGGCGAACGGCCTGCTAGGACACCGCACTCAGAGAGCGCGTCAGACAGGGTGCCCACACGTCCCATTTCGGTTCCAGAACAAAGACTTGAAGAGCCGGATTGTGCACCTGGAAGGCTCATACAGGTCCAGTAAGGAAGGGCTGGTGGTGCAGATGGAGGCGCGGATCGAGGAGCTGGAGGAACGCCTGGAGAGTGAGGAGAGGTGCGCGGCCCCCTTCCATCCTGCAGCATGGGGACGGGGCCCTGGCCACTGTCGGTGGTGGGCGGGTCCGGGGGGGGGCGGGAGGAAGCGAGGCCTGTGGCCGCTCCCTGCCAAGCCCAGGATTCTCTGCGGGGCGCTCTCTGCACACCTGAGGACCAGCGCCAGGATGAGCGTGACCAGGCTTAGCTCTTGTTCGTGACCCCTCAGCTTCTGGAAGGCGTCGCACATGGCACAGGAGTGTGACCCATAGGACTTGGGGGCCCATGCTGGCGAGGGCTGGAGTAGACCCGACACCGGCTGGCTGTGATTCTGTGTCAGAATCAGTGAGCTCAGGACCGTTCCGGTCCAGCTGAGCTCCTTGCTGGCCCCATGCCTGGGCAGGTCCCCCTTCTAAGCCCTGTTCTGCCCTTTGCTCCTGTGTCTTCTCTTACCCTGAGCTCCAGTTGGCCAGGTGCCCATGGCTGGTGGGTCCCCCACTCCGCAGCTACTGCCTCCCTCTGGTGGAGAATGAGAGGTGCCCTGTTCTGCTCCTCACCCCTGCAGGGACCGCGCCAGTCTTCAGCTCAGCAACCGCAGGCTGGAGCGGAAGGTGAAGGAGCTGCTGATGCAAGTGGATGACGAGCACCTGTCGCTGACCGACCAGAAGGACCAGGTGTGGAGTCTGTTCCCATCTCAGGCGGGGGCAGTGGGAGGAGGCCGCGGGTGCCTGTAGGCTGGGCCGTCGCCGCCGCCTCTGCTTGCTTATCCACGCTGCTCACAGAACAGGGAATTTCCACAGTCCTGGAACAATAACCTTGACTTTCAGAAACCATTAGACCAGTTCACCAGGGGGAAGATGGCGCCCCCAGTGTCAAGCTGGTCTCTCACACCCTCAGCCACCCTCTTTCCTGCTGCAGCTGAGCTTGCGCTTGAAAGCGATGAAGCGGCAGGTGGAGGAGGCCGAGGAGGAGATCGACCGGCTGGAGAGTTCTAAGAAGAAGCTGCAGAGGGAGCTGGAGGAGCAGCTGGACCTGAACGAGCAGCTGCAGGGGCAGCTCACCTCCATGAGGAAGGACTTCAGGTAGGCACAGGTGGTGGCCACGGAGCCAGGCGCCCGTCCCCAGCGTCCGAGGGTGCTTGCTGCCTTCAGAATGCTGCCTTCACAGACCAGTCCCCACTGCTGCCTTCAGGGCATCCCATGCTGCAGACGAGTGGCTTGGTCCAAGGTTTAGTGGGGTCCTGTGTGCGCCAGCCTTACAGCAGGGTCAGCTGAGCAGAACGGACCTTGTGGACATAAGGGCAGCCTAAGGCTGTGAGCAGATAGGTCAGTGTAGGCCCTGCCCATTTGGTCTGAGTGAGGAAGTTCTGATTTTTATCCTCAAAAAGACTGTGCTGTCCCAAGCTTCCCTGGCCAGGAGCCAGGACCAGGATGGCAAGGCCTACAATGGGCCACTTCCTCCCCCAGGGCTAGTGCTGGGCTGAGACCAGGCCCGCACCCACCCGTGCGCACACCGTTCCTGGAGGCCAGCGCTGCCCCTGGCTGCCCAGGCGGTGTGCTCAGCCCACGGAGGGTGTGCCCACACGGGGCCTGTTCAAGGACTTAGAGCCTGAGGTCAGCGCTGGTGCGTGACATTTAAGGGGCCAGAATGGATCTCATTGTAGTACAACGGGAATTTAGTGCCAGATTTAAAATGTATTGCCTGTGATTTGGTGGGATGATGGCCCTGTCAAGCCGTGGCTGGCGACACCAGCTTCCGTGGCAGGCTTGTGGGAGGTGAGCGTGCTCCCAGGCACCTGAGGGGTGGAGGCCAGGAGCCCGTGGCCCACTCCACCACACAGCAGAGAGCGCCAGGCCCAGGACGGACGCGCCTGTGCTGTCTCCGCAGACTGAAGAAGCTGCCGAGTAAAGTGCTGGACGATGAGGACGATGAGGATGACCTCAGCACCGACGGCGGGAGCCTCTACGAAGCTCCGCTGGGCTTCGCCTTCTCCAGGGACAGCGCCGTGGTCAGCCAGACCTAACCCGGCCCTCCCTGCTGCCGGGCCTCTGCAGCACCCCCGTGGGAGGTAGCGGGGATCCGGGGGTGCTGGCCACTTTGACGTGGCTCCCTGGGTCTCCAGGGCCTGGTAGGGAGTCACCACTGCACCTGTGTGGGGAGAGGCGCTCGGTGGGCTGGCGTCTGCTCCTGCTTCAGCGCCAGGTGTGGGGAGGGAGGGGCGTGCGAGCTGCAAACCAGGCCTGCGCGCGGACTGCTGCAAACCCCTTTGGACCATCCCACCGCCTTTTAGGTGGGCTCTTTGTAAAGTTCACGTGCGACCCCGAGCATTGTTTTTAAAAACTCTAAGCTGCTAGGCTTCGCTAAGAAGTGGAGGTGAGAGGCTGTGAAGAACGCGGACCACTTTGGAGACCAGAGCTGGAAAGGAGGATCGTGGGGATCTGCCTGGGAGGGAGCGGGCGCAGCCTCCCCGTCACCCCACCTGTGGTTAGGGCTTTGGTTGCTCAGTGCAGCTGGAGTGGCGGCTCCTGGGTCACGCTGACACCAGCTTCTGGTCACCGCTTTCCGTTACACACGTGGCAGTGGGGAGAACTGTAGGTGTTAGCAGGTGGTATGGCCCCGGGGCTGCTGTCTCGGTGCTGCCTCCCCCACCGTGGGCCTCTGAGCGCCACCCTCAGGAGGACGGGGCCAAGGCTCTCCGCTAAGTGTGAGCATGAGGCGGGAAGAGGCAGTGAGGTTGTGGGGCGGGGCAGGGGAGAGAAGGGAGCGGCAGTGTGGGCAAGCGCGTGGAGGAGGATGCAGAAGGACCCGGGGGCGGGACGCGGAGGGCAGGGGTGTGGAGGGCGGAGGGACAGGACGGCGGAGCGCAGAGGAAGCAGAGGGGCAGAGGGGCAGAGCTGCAGCTGCGGCGCTCAGGAAGGCAGAGCGGGTCTGCTGCCGACTGGAGGCTGCCTTCCGCTCGCTCGAGGGCACCAGCTCAGTCTGGGAGCGGGCTGCAGCATTGGGTGGGATTATGGGAGCCTTGCGCCAGGAGGAGGCCGGGAGCCCTGCACACCCACAGGGTACGGGCCTGGCTTCCCAGGAGGTGGCTGTGGGGCCCCCTTACACCTCACAGGCGGCAGGGCTGAGGACCAGAGAAGCCGCGACAGGTGGCACGGGGACCCGCTTTCCTCGGGGTCCCAGAGCTGCTCCAAGGACGCGGCGACCTCCGCCTGTGGGGTGGGCCCTGGCGCTGCAGAGCTGAGCCTTTCTCCGCCTCCGCCCGGCCACCCGTGACCCTGCTGTCTCCCTCAGCGTGGGCAGAACCTGCCCCAGCCATTGGCCCATGTAGCAGGTCTGAGGGTATCTGTAGTGTGCCGGGCATGGCCCCTGGCGCTGGGCAGCCTTGAATACGGTGGGTAAAGCGGGCTTCCTGGGGCTCTGTCCACGGAGTGGGTGGCAGGGCCGGGCACCGCAGAGCCCAACCCCTAGCCCTCTCCGGGTGCGGCAATCACGGGGCCCCAGGCCCCTCTGAATGCGTTCATTTCCCTGTTGCTGCTACATTTCCAAATTCCTGCCAGGAAGCCAGCCCACCAAGCCTCGCGCTGGGCACCCAGCGTGCGGGGAAGAGCTCAGCCTGGGAGCTGGCAGCGAGCGCCAGGTGCGCGTGGTGGACAGGCAGCTTCCCCTCGTCTTTGCCGCGAAGCGGCTGTTGGGAGCAAGAGGGCCCTGACTAGAGCAGAGGACGCCACTCAGTGCTCGCACTGTTACCCTAGAAGGAGCCCTGAGGGTGCTTGTGACGTCCGTGGTGCAGCTGGCGGTGGTGAGAAGGGCGGGCACTGGGCGTGGGGAGGTGTCAGGGCCCTGGCGCGTCTCCTGACCCCCGACCTGCACGGGGTGCTGGCTGGGAGAGGAGGAAAATTAGGGCCCCAGGGCTTTCCCAGCTTGGACACATTCTTCGATCATGTGCGTGTGTTACACATACCTGCTTTCCTCTGTGTATTGCTTTAAGAGCTGACCCCTGCTCCAGAATGATTCCTTAGCAGGTTAACAAGAAACAAAATTACGTAAAAAACATTCGGCCAAGTGCAGTGCCAAACAGATGGTTGTCACCTATCTCTGCAAGTCCTTTTCCTGCTGCAGTGGCATCTGCCTTGCCTGGTCACGTATCCTGTTGGGTTTGCTTTGGTTGTCATGGGGAAAAGACCTTCCTGCTGTGGCTACCTCCGTGGGTGCAGCAAGATTTCTCTCAATAAACAGTGTCACTCAGATAAATCCTGACTTTCCCTTTGTGTTCACTCCTTCCTTTTCTCCAAACTGGGCGTGTGGGGCTGGGGAGCTTGCTCGGCAGTCTAAGCACCTGTCTGGCAAGCACGAGGACCCGGGTTCGATCCCTGATGTGTACCATGCTGGCCCTGCCCTGGGTGTGCTGAGCCAGCCGCTGAGACTGGGAGTGGTGGGGCACGCCTGTAATCCCAGCGCTGGGGAGGCTGAGACAGGAGGATCACTATGAGTCTGAGCTGCATAGTGAGAGCCTGTAGCAAATAAAAAATTTAAAAAGAAGAAACTACAAGGTGAATGTTCAGGAGCTACCGCAGGGTAGAACTTGGTGTCTCCAGCGCCAGGCCTAGCACTAGGCCTGGATTCTGAAACCAGAGGGTGAATGCCGAGGGCCGGGTGGGCCTGGTGGTCGAGAAATTCTGGAAAACACAAGCTGCCCTTTTCAGAGAAGGGCGGAGCGGGAGCCTCGTCCCGTGTTTGTAACTGGGGTTGCACAAGCTCCTCCTCCTGGCCTCTGGCAGGCACCCCTGCGGGCAGTGTGCATCCTCCTGGGTCTCACAGCAGGCACCCGAGACTCCCTCTTCCAGGAAGCCAAGGTCTTCCCCACAGGAGGGGCAGGCTGACCATTCCTCTATCCTCAGGTCTGTCCTCCCGCCTGTGCTAGAGGCCAGTCTGGGGGGCCTTCCGTGATGCCCGGTCTGCTGAGGTCGCATCGGGCATTTCTTCAGGACATCCTGCAGCATTTGGAGGACCTGGGGGACCTGAGTAAGCCCTTGGGGCAGCTGCAGTTGGCCACTGCCTGCCCGGAGCTGTGCCTGCGCCCCTTTGATATAACACGCCCATGTTCCAGCCCCTGCAGTCAGTGGTTCCCCAAACTCCCAGTAGGCAGTGCATCCTGAATGCAAATGAGGTGGCCTACTTTGAGTAAGTGTCCAAATCTTGCATAAGTTTGGTCTGACTTCTTTATAAGTCAAGTATGTTGAGGCACGTTTTGTAGTTTGTAGGGAGCATCACCTTTTCCAGTGCTCATTGACTCTGAAGCTGTATTTTTCACCCTTGCTTTCGCCCCCTGCCAGTTTCTCCCCAGAATCTTCCTCCCACCCTGTCCCTCAGGCAACTGCCAGGTACTCAGGAGGCCCGAGGCCAGCAGAAGAGGCCCCCTCTCCAGCACTGTGCCTTGCTGCCCACAGTCTGTGCATTGAGCTCCCAACCTGAGGCCATTAGTGGCTCCGAGCAGGGAGCCTGACTTTGCTGGAATCAGTCACTGAAAGTGATCTGTTCCGAGTTCTCCTGACTGCCACTATGTCCAGGCAGCCCCTGCTGCTCCCTGCTGCAGTGCTCACGTGACCTCCTCAGGCCTGGCTGAGTGGCCCAGCTGCCCTGGGTGCATGGGCCCGGATTTGGGATGGTGCTCATGGAACCCCAGGTTGCTTGCTGAGAAACTGCAGTGATAATCTGTCACGTGGTGCAGTTCAGGCTGGCCTCACATGCAGAGCTGCCTACAGACTGCGGTCAGCCACGGCGAGAGGCTCAGACCTCACACTCAGTGCCGTGGCGTGCTGCCCCAAGTCTGGAGCGCTCAGTGTGGCCACATGGGCTGCCTTTCTGGAGGTTGAGCGTCGTCTGCTGAAGGAGCAGTGGGCACACGAGGAGTGGGAGCCTCTGCGTGTGGGTGGGGGCCTGACCCGTGTCCGGGGTAGAGCTGTGTCCTACCAGCAGGGTGGGGCGCCTCAGGAACAAGATGACCACGCAACAGGAAGGCTGCAGCAACGGCTAAGTTGGCAGCCACCACCTTCGGTCCTCTCTCCATCTGGCCGGTAGGAAGTTGCTCCTCGCACACGTTCTGGCCGTGACTGAAAGGCCACTTCCTGTCTTCAGCCGGCCTGCTGTGCCCTAATCTGCCTTGGAATGAATGGCTGCCTCTATCCCTAGTCTTCCCCAGGAATAGCAGGACTCTGTCTGTGGAAACTGGTTGTGTGTGCGGGAGTAGAGGGGTGACAGGTACCTCCTTGCACCGTCAAAGGCAGAAGGTGTCCCTTCTGAGCTCCCCCAGGGACTGTGCACAGACTAATAAAACCTGCCTGGGAAGGGCCAGTGTAGTTCGAGCAGTGGGATTCATGCCTAAAGTGCCTCAGCAGGGCAGGGCAGAAGCTACAATGGGGCTGGCCCAGTGGGTCAGGAATCGTTGCACGTCATCTCAATTTTTCTGTGCCCCACGAGGTGGGTGGTGGTGTTCGGGGGCATGAGCTAACTTGCCTAAAGTCACCAGCTCGTAGACAGTGGGGCTGAGGTACAGTCCTGGGTGCGCTGCTGCTACCAACCCAGAGTTCTGCTGGCCCTCAGAAACAGTCTCAGCATGTCCTAGGTGAGGCCTCCAGGCACAGAGATAGGTGGTGCAGCCGGGGTCCCAGCCCTGGGCTCCGGGTTGCCGCATGTGCTTGGAACCTACCACCTACGTGAGGAGAAGCGGAGGTCTGCCTCCTACGGCTGTTCCACTGCTACGCACTGCCAGCCTCTTGACTGTGTCCCAGCAGCCACTGGGCCCCTCTGGCCCTCCCAGGACAGGCTTGATTTCTAGGAAGGTGCTTGGACACTGAGGTAGAATGGGTGACCTTAGCTGAGTGCCCGCCTGTCTTTGCAAATGCTATCTGACATGCTCGCCCATCTCGGTTTATCTCTGGTGGAGGCTACCTGGCTTTTATCTGTCCCTGCTGTTGCTGGTTGTGCAAATAAGATGCCTTGGAGTCGGGTACAGGGCTTCTTGCAGAGCTAGGCAAGGGACCTGGAAAGATGCCCCTCAAGCTCCCTCTGGGACTCCTGGCTCTTCCATGTCCCTGTCTGCTCCTAGCGTTTAGATAATGAAGAACTCCACCAGACCCCTCGGTAGCCTCCCCCTCTGCCTGGGAAGAATTCAGAATCTGTCTCGCT